TACCTGCAATGTTTGTTCGAACTTGTGGGTTATAGAAAACTTCTTTGTAGCAAGTTTTTCTGTTTTCAAGATGTTGGTACTTCACTTGCTGCAATTAAAAGGAGTTGATTATAGCTTCAGTGTGTTAGGTATCAGACATTCCACGTCTGATTTCATGGGGGAACTGTTAAAACATCTGAAATAACGTTTTGGAGAAACGTTATTTGTGAAATTTAGCTGTTTTATGCAAAAATGAGTTTTATAATTCAAAGAAAAAGACTGCATGTGTTTACCCAGGGACACAAATACAGGTTTGAGACGAGTGTGGGATAAAGGCATTGTCTGAGGTTTGAACTTTAAAATTCTGTCCTTACATGCATTTCTCCATGTCACATTCAGAAATGGAAAAGCCCCTTTTTTTCATGGATCCTGTGTTGTGGTAACTGTTGTTAAAATTGACTTTTGAGTAACAACTGTTGTATGTCTGATTTTACAAAGTTCATGTTCTCATAGCTGGCAAAGAACATTACTAGACTAGACTTTCACAGCTAAAAATTAACTCCAGCTCTATCTGAGGTTTCTTTTCAGTGAATAAAGTAATATATTCATTAAATTTCCCTTACTTACATTGTAAGTAAAATTATAGGGATTGACTGCTATGGTCACCAAAAGCAGCTAAAGAGAATATTTGTGGGAAGGAAATTTTAAGCTCATAATGATGACTATTTGCTCTGGAAAACTGATTCAATTCTGCTCATCTGAAGAAATGGAGCATGTGACCTGTGTGTCAGTGCAAGGAAGGTGGTTATGAAAAACTAAATGCTACAATAAATTTAAGTAGAATTTTGTGCTGAAAGTGACTGGAAGTTCCTAGTGTTTAGGTGAACCATCTCTTTCCTTCTTGTTTCTGCATGTGAGTTGTTGCTTTTGCTCTGTTTGAATCAAAGCACAAGGCTGAAATAAGACAGCTTATGAAGAGCCTGATTTGAAAACTGTGGTCATAGTTATGCATCCTACAGTCACTGAAGTCACTTATATTCTGCAGCCACTCCATCTGATCCTGGGAATTACTTTCTCAGGAGACTAGTCCCAGAACATCTAAATTTGGGTGCAGAAATACTGGATGGTAGTTATTAAGTAGATCACAAATTATTTTATAAATGGTGACAGCATATATAGTAAGATCTATATTTTCAGTCTAAGTACTGTCTGATAAAGAAAGCTATTGCATTATATCCTATTGTAACATATGTCATGTTATAACAACTGGAAGCTCCCAGTTAGGAATGTGATTTTCCTGTACTGGGTGCTATCACAAAATACAAATTAAGTTCCCTGCCAAAAATGTTTTACAAACTGAAATTTCAAGTCGAAGTTCTGTGTTTTGTTCAAATGTACTCCCAGCTACTGGAATCTCTGTATCCTTCCACTAAGTTCTGCTTTCAGAGTTTAAAGAAGCCTAACTCATACCTCAGCTTCATGCCTGTCTCTCTCTAGCTTGCAAGAACACACAGTTCTGGAAACTACATTTGAAATTCAATCACTGCTTGCACTGCTTTGTTACAGCCCTTAATATTTCCTGTGACTTCCATGCAGCAATTGGGGTTTGTTTTTCAGAAGTATGTGCAAATTAATTTTGGGTACCTATGGGAAATTAAAGTAGCATTTTTGCAAAACTTGTATTTGCAACATTATTTGAACATTTGCAATTATTTGGTCTGCTGAGAAAGATTCAGACCCACTGTTCAATTATACAAAACTGGCATTTGTTCTCTCTGAGAACATCTCAGGGATGCTTTGTATGAGCTGTTTACAGACCCTCATTGCTTCAGAGACTGTACCAGCCTAATAAAGGCTTTGCTTGGTCATATGTTTATGGGAACAGAACCTACACTGTGACAGATCAGAGGTTTTCCCAGGATTACAATCCTGTACCGTAACTGGCAAATCTTCTGGAGCTCTTAAGCTCTATGTCCATGGAGATAAAATGTCTGTGTGTAAACAAATGCTGCACTTTACTGTCCAATGCTGTAAATAGGTATGGTAACCTCTCATTGTGACTGCAGATAAAGCTGGGCTGATGGGTGTTGTTTTCTTATATCAAGAACCTGGTAGAATATGACAACTACTAGAGAAGTGTTTATTTAACCATAGACCCAAAATTTTGAGGGACCCTTTAAAAGGAACATACCTTTTGGAATACCTGAATGCTTTCAGAGTAGTGTCTTTTTTTACCAGCTGCATAAGAGGAATGCAAATGGATAATGGGATGCTTTTATTTTTGTAATAGTTAAAAGTTTCAAAGGCCAAAGGTACAGACCCCTGCTATGCTCCATGGTGAACACCCCGGTGGAATGACTTACCACAATAAATGTGTCCATCCATCTGTCCTCATACTATATATAGTCTTTATAAACTTGCAGCTACATAGTTATGTCTTAAAAACAGGGCAGATTTTTCCCTTGTGTATTTGTTCTGGCCATGAATCTCAAAGTCATTCCTTTCAAACCAGGACAGTGTTGCTTGAGGCAGGCAGATACAGTTTTCCTGCGATGACAGTTGTTGTTTTGCCTAAAGGATCAGTGTAATCCTCTTTTAAGTGTATGCTGGCTACCATGACAGGTTGGGTCTGGGAGGCAGAAGGTCTAACAACATGCTTTGCCCCAAGTTTTCCCCACTACACATGGAGAAAATCAAGTATTTAGCCTGCTTTGTGTGTTGTAGTTAAATATCAATACCCCTTCACTCCCTCATACTACTAGTGCATGTCTCCAGCAAAAGCAGGTGACAGTTTTCTACTAAAATCTACATATTCAGAGTCAGACCACTGTGGTGAGAGAAATGTAGAGCTTTCAGTTGTTTATCCATTTTCCTATTAGTCTGGCATTCAGCAGGCTTTTTTTATTAGTTTTAACAAATTTGCTACTGATAACATCACTGGCACTTCAGTTCCATCCCAAGAGCCTGTTAAAACCTGTCAGAGGAGCAAAAATCCAAAAGCTGAGTACAAATCCTCTTCCCCCCCCCCCCCCCCCCCCCCTTGTACCTCTTAACTATTTACTTCTAGGGAGATTTCAGCTTCAGTGGATGGGGTGAGATCCAAATGAAGGATAAAACATTGTTCCCTGTACAGCATATTGAAGAATGGTGTACAGTCCTCATCCAGCCAGTCCTCTTACTGCTAAAATCAGTAGTTAAGTTCTGTGAAGAAATGTTTGGCCCTTCTTTGTGCTCCACAAGTCTAATTAGAGATGATGCCCACGTATTGCCTCAGCTGACGGTTTCTCATGCATCAGAGGAGTCTGATCTCACTCCCACTGAAACTGCCAGGAGACTTTCCATGAATTTCTCTGGCAACTAAATGGGAAACTGTTTTTACCAGGTACTTTGATACTTAAAGTATTGATGAGTCTGGAGGCTGTTTTGAAACTTGAAATGACAGAAGAGAAAAAAATCCCCCAATGGTAACAGAAAAATCTGTGACCTGAACAGTCCTGAAACAAATGGTGAGTAGTGAGCAGTAATGGAAGCTTGAACAGGCTCTGATTGGCAAGTGTGGAACTTGAGATGTTTTACAATGCACCAGTAATGAAGAACTGGTTTATAGACCACAAAATTTTAAGACTTTTTATAAAAAGTGGGATTTTTTGGCACAATGCAGCAGTATAAAGTTTGCTATTCCTCTCAGTTTGCTCACAATAGGAGGGATTCTGCAACAAGATCAGTGGCAAAAATGCCTTTATGTTTCCATGGTGTTTCTCTAAATTAAATACACTTAGAGGTCTGAACGAGTGGGTTTACTTACAAGGCTGAGACCTATGTTTATAAAACTGAGGTGTCATGAGAGGGAACAAGCATCGGTGTGGTAACCCTGATGTGCACAGAGCAAATCATGTAACTGGACTCTGAGCAGGGAAATACTTTTTTTAAGACTGTTTACTAACAAACTCAGAGGTCAGTAGTACCTACCATCAACCCCCTCTCTTTAAAAATCTTTTAACTGGATATTCCCATATCAGCTCCTATGCAACATGTAGAAGATAATATCATCGGAGATTCTCTCATGCAGTTTTGGTGACTGTAACTTTATGTATGTGATTATTCTATAACACACTAAACACCCTCACTAGAGCAGAAAGTATTTCTGGTATCTCTCCCAACTGATATATATGGCAATATCTCCTAAAGCAGTGCAGGAGACAGGACTCAAAGGCTATTTTAAACAACTTTTCTAAGCTTTTTTGTTTATTTAAGAACAAACATATTCTTTCTGTAACTTGGGAACAAAACATATGCAACAGAGAATAATTACAGAGATATTCTTAGAGAAATGGTATCAGTTCAGCCACTACAGCTGATATGTAACATGTGATACTTCAGTGAAAGGACATCTGTGGTGGAAAATGAATCTCAAGTGAGCGGTTCTGTACTTCCATACACCCAATTCAAAGTCTTTACATCCAATCCTAGCGAGCTTGAACCGAACCCTACGAAGCTATTTTAGTTTTTTTTTTAATTGAAAATGTTTTCCAGGTTCTTTTTTTCCATGTTTCTAATGTAGTTATTTTTTCCTGTCAGATAAGGACATATTTGGCTGACCATCTAATTATGACACACTGTTGATACAGTAAGTCAAAAGAGGTGTGAGACTGATAGATATAGAGTAGCACTACTGATAAGTTGCTCAAATATTGCATTTTATTTACTTTGCCTTTGCTAACTTGCATGTTTGAACATTACAAAAGATTGAGCACGTGTGAGCAAACAAGCTTCTTACTGTAATCTACGCTCTAATAGCCACTGTTTGTAAATGTTTGTGTTCTGGTTTGCTAGCTTTGGAATATGTTTTGGTCCTTCAGTTCACACCTTTCCCTTTCTCCTGGAGGCAAGAACTTACTCCAGCTGAAGCTGAGATTCTTGCTCAAACTTCAACAGCTGGAGCCTTGACAGCTATCAAATCTTGTGAAATTTCACAATAATTGCAGGAATGGGTATTAAAAGTTGTTCCTTTCTTTTATTAGGAATATTTTGTGGGGACTTCGAGCTATGAAGTTGTGCAATTTTTGGAAGGCTGTGTGGATCATGATTAACAAATTCTAGTTGATCAGGACCAGGAAATTAGCAACGTCCTTACTGTGGCCTCTATGGATCACCACATCTACAGTGCCAGAATGGAATGGGTGAAGTCACCTGAACCTTTCACTCTGATGAAAGACTGGGAAAACGAATACAAGGCCTCCATACTTTCCTAGAAGCAAAAAAGTCTGAGTGGCTGATTGCCAAGTGCACCATGCCAAGAGTTGTTGGGATCTCCCACACATTCCAATGGGAATATTAACAGGTCTACATATTGCTGGGTAAAGTCTTCCAAACTTCCAAGAGAGCTATGAATATCTACTGTTTAATGTATGTACGGTTTGTGGTCCCTTGCTATCCGGAAACTCTCAAAACTCTGCAAATACCTTATGAAACTCTCACACACAGACAGCTCTCCAAACATTCCTTCTCCTCTCTTTGAGCATATGTGGTCTCAAAATCCTAAAACCATCTGGAAGTATCGGCTATAGGCTTCCAATCATCACCTTGTAATAGGATTAGCACCCCATCAAGCCCACAGATGCTGGGCATCTGCTGAAATAGCTGTAATACTTTGAAATAGAAAATGTCATTAAAGGGGTGTGTGCAGCCTGAACCAAAGCTCACCAAAGTCAGTGAATTCTGCTATTCCGTGTTGCCTCAGTGGGTTTGGGTTAACCCATGGTCAATAATGACTTTGGATCTTTTGAGTTTTTATCCCATCTGAATATACTCTGAAGTAACTTTTAAAGACTGACTGAGGTGTGTTCTGTCCCTTTATGCTGTGTGAAAAGAAATAATATAAAGTGGCTACCAAAAGTCTGCTCCTGGACATGACAAAGACACTCTGGAGAATCTCTGGAAGAACCTGAATCCACGTCCTTAGGAAGGTGATAAAGGAATGTGACAGTGTAGGCAATGCCACTGAGTACTTGACTGACTCCTAGCAGCACTGTAGCCTGTAAAAGGGTAAAGTCCAGAAAAGTTCTAACTTAGGTTTTGGGCTGTCTTAATGATGTTCCAGACAGAAATCCAACGACCTAGAGTTGGGGTGTTTGAAAGCTTCCTTTGGTCTCTATCCTGCTGCCCTGTGGGTGCTGTGCTTTGCCTCCAAGGAGAGCAGTCAGGGAACCCCAGGCTTCTTGGCACCTGTTAAGCTCAAATTTCTTCTGTAATTTTATCAGAATGACAAGAGACTTCAGTTCTAACCTTAAAAAAGCAGTTATCATTGATGATGTACCTTTTACTATTTTAGGGGATCTACCTAAGCCCTATCTATCTTAAAAGACAAGAGCATTTTTAACAGTTACTTGTAGATTCTTGGTCTCTAGGTTATAACTTTTTCCTTGCTTGTTTGCCTTTATTCTGTGTTCTTTTTGGTCATTCCATTAAAAAGTGCATCCTGTGTTGAACAGTCAATCCTTCCAGCAAATTATAAGCCATTTGGAAAACATCTAAATTAGTGCCATTTTTGACGAGGAGGTGACAATGGCTCTGTCTTCCAAGAGACATAAAAAGGTTATCAGGTATTATTACTTGCCCACTGAGAATTTGGCATGAATTGAAGTCCTTTGCTGGATGTGAAATTTACTGAAGAAATACAGAGATGTTGTGGGATTGGTTGGTTGTGGGGTTTTTTGAGCAACATGAATTTTCTACTGGAAAAATGAGATATGAGTCAGCATCGAAATTTCTGCAAGAAACAGCAGGCATCTGGGTTTTTGGTTTTTTGGTTTTTTTTTTTTTTTTTAGTCTCATTCATATTTTCATTTCACCCATCAGGGGAAGGAATCTAATGATACTTGTTTCTAGATCTGAACATCATCTGAGGACATTTGAATCTCTGTCTTTGATGTGGACCCATCGAACCTTCTAAGTAAGTTCGAGAGAGAACAGTAAAGGACTGGAACTGAAAGTCAAATTAGAAATTCTTCAAATGGGAAGGCATGTGTTTGCTGACAGTAAAGGAATTTTAAGAGGCAAGCACCAGCTGTTACACTAATGGAAGAAAGACAGAGCACATTTGACCTGGCAATTACTTGGGGATTTTATTGTAGTAGAACAAAAGGAGAGTCTGAAAACACATGAAAACTCTTATGACTGGGGGAGGGGGAGGTAGGGGGTGGAGAGAAGGAGAAAAGAAAGAAGGAAATTGCACGTGCCTTCAATTCCCCTTTACAGAGTGCCCTGGTCCCAAATGAAAAGTAAGATGCAAATTGTTTTGTCTTTTCACATAAACTGCAGAACTTATAAAAGGAAATTCATCTCAGCACGTTCATGTTGGGCTTAATTTGTCAGTCAGTTGTGTTTTCCTGGAACAGTTGAAGGTGGGAAGTACTGCAGGAGTGGTCACCTTCCCCTGAGGTTTCCTGCCAAGGTGGTACCTTTATGCTGTAGCTGCAGGTTGCCCACAGGGTGAGTTTTATCACTGTGTCCCCCTACACCTCACTCATATGCCCACAATACCTGGCACTCTTTCTTTGGGGTCAAACTGGGCAGCTGTGAGGTCCCAGCAGAGAAAGGTGATGGAGATGCCAGAAAAGCACAGACTCACATCCCTAGAGAGACATTTTGCTTCCTGAGTTGCTGTGGCAAATGTCACTAAACAGAATTTAAGATTAGGACAACTGTCCTTGAGTGACAGAGACATCTTTTGCAAAACTTGAGTCATATTTCTGGCCTATGTTTGCAATTATTTGTGTCTGAGATTTTGGTGTGGTTTTTTGCTCTGTAGTAGGAATGAAGAAAAGGGATTTGAACAAATTGACAAAGAACTCAGTGTTCACTCTCAAAATGTACTGAAACAGTACATTTTTTTTCTGTTTGAAATTAATTTTAAGTTATTAAAAAAACACCAAACCGAAAACCCCCAATGTTTTTCATCATCTTTTTTTTCCAGATTTGGCAGTGAAAATTAGCCACCCTTGCAGAAAGTCTGTTACAATAGTCTCATCAGCCAGGAAATGCACAATCTTATAATTGGTAAATAAATTGTTGCTTTGCTCACTTCATGTTTAGACTCGTCGTTTGTTATTGTTATTACTGGCAATCAATTTAATAATTTGCAACTTGAACAAATATAAAGCTATACATCCAAAATGAAAAAAAAAAACCAAAAAAACCCAACCCAGTACAAATACTAGAATAAGAAAACTTGTATTGAAAGGTAACTTTGCAGTTAAGAAGTTGAAAAATGTTTAGAAACAGTGACATTTTAACAGTGTAGTTAAAAATACTTCAGTGAAGTGAATCCACTGAGCTCTGACAGCCATGATTTTTGTAGGTATTCCAATGTAATAGTGGTATGTGTAGAATATTGACTTGGTGGATGATGAAGCCACCCACTCGGTTTCAACTGATTGTGAATCAAGCCCTAAATGCCTGGGGATGTTTCCTAAAATTCTTTTGTACATCTTATAGGAAAAAAATGAACCATTTCAAGGGTGGCTGATATTGGGCTAAGACAAATAGTTTTAGAAATGTGAGAGAAGTTGTGAAAGGGCTGCTGTTGTTTTAAGGAACTTAAACAAAATAGGTTGCAATTGTTTTTCTGCAATAAGAAATGTGGAGAAAAAAACGCAGGATAAGGATGCCATTATCATCATTTAGGAATAACTTTGCTTCAGAAAGAAGCCTAATAGGCTTTTTTTTAAAGCCTATTAGGAATAGAAAAGCCATTCGTTTATTATTTCAGTGATATATTTATGACAGACCAAATGTGTCTGGTAAACTGAAAAAATCTGTTTAGCAAAGAGTGATCACTGGAGTAACGTGAACCTTTGCTTTATTTATTTCTGTGGTGCAGCTCTTTTGTAACTCTTGACTTTTTTTTCTGACAGTAACACATGATGAGGGGCATACAAGCTTCTAATTATATTGTACAAACACACATGCAACCCAAAAACTTCATAGTGCTTCAAAGAAACTACAGTTTGTGTTTTTCACATGGTGTTTGTACTTGTAAGGATCATGTTGTTATTTCTGTCATTCCAGGAGGAGCTGATTCAAAGCCCAAGGAAGCTGTTGAGTGAAATAGCGGTGAGTTTAATGTCATTAAAAGATGTAACTATTAAAGAGAAAATGATTGTGTTACATTCAGTCTAATGTTACAGCAGCCTACTCCAGGTGACTGAGTTTGACCTCTGTGAATGCCAGAGATGAAATTGTCAAATTATTCAGGTACTTATTTGGATGAAATGATGCAAAAAGCTGAAAAAGATCCTAATAGGCAGGGAATTCATTGAGGCTAGAAAGACAAGGGTACCTAGTGAAGTGTGAAGACTGGGCTGAGGTTCTGAAATAAAAGGAGAAATCCCACCTAATAAGGCCTGAAGTAAGATGAACTAACTGAGAGAGAAGAAAAATTTGCCTGTGCCTGCTAAATCAGGTTCCCATTAGAGAACCAAAATACATTATTTGTGATTTCAGTGTGAAGTGGAGGGAAAATACAGTACCATCAAAGAACTGAATTGGAGGAAGAGCATGCCATGGGCCCTCACTTAGTGTTTTAAAAATATGTTTTTAGCAGTCATGACTGGATACATAGCTGAATGACAGTGACCAAGGGAGGAATGTAAAGCTGCCACCCCTCCATACATCATTTGGGGATTCTCTGGGGTTAGGGAGAGTTCATCACCCCCTGAGACTCAGACCAAGAGCAGATGACAACAATACCTGGGAGAGCAGAAAGAAGTCTTTCTTGGCAAATGTAAACCCAGGTGGGTGTGATGAGCAGCAGGCAACTTCTATCACAAGAGTTAATCCATCCTGTGAAAGTAAGTTTGTCCCATTTCTTGCAACTATTCCAATCTAGCACTTGTCCTCTGACTGACAATTTTGAGCAGGTCAGTTAGACTGCTGCCTCTTTTACCTGCCTTTTTTTCCCCACCTCAGCCTATCCTATTTGCAGGCTTGTCTTTTTGCCCTTTCTGTACTACCACCTATGTCTTGCACTGAAATGGTTTTCTCATTTGTTTCTGTCCATGAGGGAGAGTGAGAAGGAAGAATATGCCACAGATACTTTAGGAGTAATAGAGTGTTCCTGGACTAAAATAATCAAGGGTTGACACACTGACCTTTTCCACAGCTCTGTCTGGCAGGAACAGCTATCAGCTGCTTTGAAGGGCATTCCAATGAGACTAATGAAATGGCAGCCCCACTGCAACCAGCTACTCTGCCTTTCTTTTGTCAGCCAGTGATTATCTGCCTTAGGGTGACTCCCTTTTCTGTTCCGTAGCCAATTTTCGGCTGATGGAGACATATCTTCTTCTACTTGTCCCCGCTTCTCAAGACATTTGTTGCAGCTGAAACATTAATCTCCTGTGAAGTTTGTTACATGTTTTCTGAGTGTCTCAGGAAATGCTATCCCCCCCTCCGTGTGTGTACCCTGGCCAACATCCCCCGTGAGAACCCCAGCCAGTCAGCAAGACGTGAACTCCTTTTTCCTGAAGCCTGGTTGGCCATCATTAATCAAGCTGTTCTAATGGCTTGTTTTGTTCTAAAGTCAACTTCAACTAATGTGTGTGTAATTTCCTGCTGCGTCCCCAGGATCTTTCAGAAGCAGTGACATGATCTAGGGCCTTTTCTGGTTGCTCAGGCTGCTGAGGGATCTCACATGTTATAAAAGCCATGGCTAAGAGAGCTTCCTCAGCCCTGCATGAGTATCATGCTGCAAGACTGTCATGCTTTTCCAAGAAGGGAAATAAAGTCACTGTGGAGATTCAGGGCACACCCTGCTCATTCCTGCACCAGCACTTTGTGAGAAAAAACACTCCCTTGGTGTGGTGCTTTGGGTCACTACCTGCCTCTGATGACTCTGGAAAATCAGAGCTAACTTCTCTGAAGGGACTTATGGACTTATGTGAGGATTATTGACATCAGAATCTCTCTTCTGAGGGAAAGGACAGGAAATTATTAAATCATGGAGGAAAATTATGCACCTTTTCTAGATTTTTTAAGTTAATCTTGACAGGGAAGGAAGACTAGGGTGGCAACAGTTTCTCTCTTGCTGCTAATGTGGAGACAGAAGTAGACAGTGTAGGGTGGACTCCCCTCAGCTTTTACTCATGGAGTTTATAACCTTAATGTTGTGTCCCACAGTCATGTGGTTGGTCATCCTGCTGGAGATATTCCACTTCAGTATTACGTGTTCCCTGAATGAATCAATGGCAGAACTTCCTTGCCGAGTATATTTATTCCATTTATGATATATTCTCTTTCCACAAAAACCATGCAATTAGTTAGGCCAAACAAAATTATATTCTTTGGAGAAACAAAAGTGTCCATGCAGTACTACCGTATGCTTAGGTAAGAACCTGAGAAGATAGTATTCACACCTGATTAGGAAAATAGAGGCATAAAGCTCAGTCTTCAGCATCCTGTAGTTCCTCTGTTCTTCTGTGAAAGCAAAGCAATCATGAGAACTTCAAATGTAACTTTTTCTTTGCTTTGTTTTTCTTGGTCCTTAAAGAAAGAGTTTCTTATTCAACTGTATGGAATGTTTCATTTGACACAAACCAGATTTCTCTCTCTCTCCCCACCAACACTCACCCCCGTAAACCCTGTAAGATACTTTGATTTCTTACAGTTTCATCATGATATGTTTTTCAAAGATACGTTTTTGATTCAAATGCTGAACAAGAAAGGATTTGTGCTGCCCTGCTCGATATATTAAGAATATTACTTTGTATTAAACTGGTAGTTTAATAGCTTTTTTTTTTTTTTCAGTCAATGAACTGATTTTGTAGCCTTTGGATGCTCTCCCTGTGTTCTACCATGCAGTACAATGAGTTGTATTGCATTTTATTTAGTTCATTATTAGTTTCCTTCCACTTATGATCGTCTTAGTCTCAGTGCTGCAACTTAGCACTAGTCCTGACACAGTGCACTGTTATATTGCCAGTATTGACCAATTCAATATGTCAAATGAGCTGTGAGATCATCTTTGTAAAAAAAAAAGTAATTAAAAGTGGTTTGGTTTACAAGGGATCCTATTATTTGCTTACAATTTTTTAATTCTTATTTTTTTCATGATAAAAAAATGAAATGTGAAAAATATGTGCTACTGTTAGACAAATGGGATGGGTCCTCTTCAAAACCCTCCACTTTTTTTTTTTTTTTTTTTGCAAGATGAAGTTTGGTGTTTTGCATCAATAGAGATGCAGCAAAAAAGGAGCTTATTTTTCTATAGGCAAAGACTAATCTGTGATTAACAGTCGAGGAGGCAAAACTTAAGGTGGTGTCAAGTAATTTTTAAGGTGGCAAAATGCCTGTCAAACTTTTACTTTGTAACGTGTTCATTTTACATGTGAAGCTCCTGGTTCTTCGATAAGTCTGTTAAAAATATGAAGCTGTTCTTATACGGAGGTTTTAAAACTAAATTCCTCTTGCCCTTTAATATCCTTCAGGAAGCCATCTTTCAGAAGGCTTTAAAATATCTGCTGCCTTCTGCATCTTTTCCTGTTGCTTGTCAGGCAGGTTTAAAAAAAAAAAACACAACAGCAATCTTATATTGATCCATAGCACCTTCCAAAGTAATCATATGCATTTTATGTGGCTGAATAAGTGCCAGGACTTTCACGGAGCAATGTGAGGGACACCACTGCTGTGACAAAGGCCTGTAAGAGGGGTGTCTCTCATGGCAGGGGAATGCACAATCAGCTTATGGACAGGGGCTGCAGGTGGGGTCAGCTCCAGCCTTTGGTGAGGCAGTGGGTTGCCGGGTTGTAAGAAGCCTTGAGTTCACCCTGCTTGTGAAGGAAACTTCCACAGAGCCCACAAAGGGTGGGAAAACCAGAGGGGTGGCCCTTTCTGGGCTAAGGGTGTTGAGCTCTTGTCAGCACCAGCTGCAATGGGGCAGGTTGGCTGACACCAGAGGGGACTGGAGCTGGGTTTGGTGGGCTGAACAGCCTCCAAAGGGTACCTGAGCATCCAGTCAGACCTTCACACAGAGGCAAAGGAGAGGCTGGCAGAGACGTGCGGGGAGCAATTCGGAGAGGGGGGTGCAAAGCTGTAAATCCTTCCCACACGCTTAGTGGTGTGACACTTCTGCTTCCTTGCTGAGTGCAATGTAGTGGTGCTGCTGGGAACAGTCCCCACAGCCACTCTGCTCTTAGGGAGCCTTTTCTTTGTTCTGGAGGTTTTTTTCTCTGTGCTTAAATGTTTATAGACTGCAAAAATGCAGGCTGTTCTGTATGGAAACTATACTCCTGTTTGCATCAAGAGGCTTTGTTTACTAAACCAAATAAGAATTAGACATAATTTATTATAATTATTCACCAGCTGGTCATTTAAAAAGCAAAAACCTTGGTACTATGTGCCTGGTGTGCCTGAAGCTGTTCAGTTTAAACCTTTATTAATAATGTTCTCATGGCTTTTTCTTTTAATTCCCATAATGGCCGGATATTGAGCTGCACATCAAAGGAATTTTGGTTTTAAAAGCAATGGTGAGTGCTATGCATTGCATTCCCTCCCCTTTGATCGCCATCAGCAGCACAAATAAATCTCATTAATCAATATTTTCTCTATTTCCTCCCTGCCTTTCTGTCAGTGCCAGAGATCTGTTTCCGATTTGCTTTGCTTTGTTTTAAATGAGGGGAAGATTTCTATGGCTATCTTCTGTCTAAAAGGTAAATTTATCATTACTTGAGGAATGAAACTCTATCTGTTGTAACTAGGACTTGATCTGAGCCTCCTCAGCTTGAGCGTCAAAGCAGGAATATTGAAGCAATTAGAACAGACATGAGTCTGTGAGCAATCCATTGGCCAGGATTCATTCAGAGAAAATATTTGGTGTATTCTTGCCAACTGGAGGCAAATTAATAAAAGTCACAGTCTGTTCACAGGCAATTCTTGAGAAAAGTGATAAATTCCCTGAAAAAACTGTGACTTGCCCATCCACTTCCAGTTGTGACTAGAAATTACTACGAGTAACTGGTGTACTCTCCACAGAAGCCTCCGAGACACGGTCCTCTTTCATTTCCTCCTAAATACACAGCTTTGTAGTTTTGCTGTGTGACCCCACACTTGCTGCTGTGGCG